TTGGACATATGGATGATGGATGGTTGGATGAATAATGGATGGATAGATGGATGAATGATGGATGGTTGGATGGATGTACAGTTGGTTGGATGTGCGGTTGGATGCAGCCTACCCCCTCTCTATGATGATGTAACGCAGGCGGTCGCTGCTGTAGCGGGATGGTGTGGCCCAGCACATGTTCACGATGAGGATCAGCTGGTTTTCGTCGGCCCCCTCCACGAAGACGCCCACAAASAGGATGTCCCGGGTGCTAAGCACCACCTCGCCCTCCCTGTAGGGGTGTCGGTAYGAGGAGTTCTTGTACAGCGCCATCTTGGTAATGAAGTTCCCCTCCTGGGTTGGCAGGGTCAGGTTAATCACACTGGAGGACAAAAARAMAACAACAATTTAGTGATTTGTTTTCATTKAAAAAAGAAGCAGCTGGTTCCTGAGTCGGACCTGAGCATKGGTTTGAGAACTGTCTCCAGTGAGATCTTCAGGTCCAGCTCGTARGCACAGGAGAACTCCACGTTGATGGTCTTATCTCGGGTGATGACGTTGCCYGTGTTGTTCACACTTTCTATCCAGACTGTGTTCTTATACATGATGTGTGTGCCATTAGACTGTACGGAAAAAGTTTTTGACACATTTTAATTCTGGGTTACTGAAGATAAAACACAGAATAAATAGAATAAACGGACCTGAACAATGGAGCCACAGTGACCCTTGGTGTTATTGATGTGGAAGGAGATAAAGTCCTCTCCTTCGATGCCGGCACAGCGCTCRTCGTTCACCCTCACATCTTCTCGTTCAAAGCCCAGCTGGAAGAGCTTACACTTGGAGATGGACACCTCCATCTGAGCGTGCTTACAGTTCACCTCGGCCTGGATGATGTCATCGTCACCTGTCGGGCACGCACACACACCGATGCAGAACGCATGACTAGATGTGACTGGACGCAYAAAAATCTGTGGCTCAGAAAACAACTAAAAGCCTCACTTGCAGTGTTGGTAGGTAACTCAGGACAGCCGCACAGGTCGCCTCCGTTTTCCAGCTCACAGGTGAAGTTTGTGCAGATCTCTCCTGCACAGGGGTCGTAGATCCATTCTGCTAAAGACAGGTCCACACACAATGTTAGCTGTCACACTCACAGGGTTGGCCGCAAGTCAGCCTGCGGACTGCAAAGCTAAAAACGACACAACTTTATGATGTTTGAGAGGTATTCTAATGCCAGCAGTGGCTGTCTAATAACTGTGACTTCTGCTGAGTCAGCTGATTTAGCTTTAAATAACCTTTTACAACTTCTAGCTGTTAACTAGACTTTTAGTTAATTTAGTTTAAGGCTAGCCTTTTGCTGCCTACAGCTGACATTCTGCTGCTTTTAGCTAGCCTTTTACTACTTTTAATTGTTGGATAGCTTTTTGCTACTTTTAGGGTTTCGCTGACATTCAGTTACTTTTAGCTTTTATCTAGCCTAGACTCTGGTGTCTCCTGGTGGTCTTACAGCAGTTCTCCTGCGTGATCCACTTGGTGGTGAGGGTTCCTAAGGAGCGGCAGGCCTCAGCGTAGGCTGCCAAAGACCCGCAGACCTGAGCCTTGCGGTGGTTGTAGCAGCCATCCARGTAGCAGGACTGGTAGAAGGGCCGGGGGTCCAGGAGGCCATGGCACGGTTGGAAGAAACCCTTCAGCTGGGTCAGTTTCTGACAAGCGTCTTCACCCTGCAGAGCCAGGACTGCCGAGTTGTCGCAGGATTGGGTTAAAGCTACATACTGGGTCTCATCACAACTGATAAAACAAAAAGGGACACAAAATGAAGCTTTATGCTATTTTTTGTTTTGTTTTTCAATCTGAGTATGTCTGTATACTAATAGGTACAAGTTTGATAATAGTTTACTACATGGACAGTGAAACTCCACTGGGTCTGTGAGGTTTATTTACCTGTTCTGCATACCATTGGTCTTCCAGCTCTGGGCCAGCTCCAGGGCACTGACAGCAGGCTTCCCCCTGGAGGTGATGTAATCATCTCCGGGATCCCCATTGAAATTCCCACAGAGACCACACACCTTGTTCTGCAGCCGCTGGCCCATTGTAATGCTGAGAGTGTTGAAGCGGTTGTAGCGAATTTGAATGTCTTGCGGCGTGTCGATGACAATGAAGCCCTCAGACGTGGACAGACGTGTCATCAGCCCGGTCAGAAATGGCACAGACACTGGTGTACCATTGACCTGGAGAGACACAGCAAGTAGTAGACAGTTTTTTGTAAATTTGACTGAATACCTCACTTGGTCATAAACTTTGGCTAGTGACTAAAAGAACGAGATTATGAATACAGATAGTCAAAATAACAAACAAAACATTCAAGACCTTATCAGAAAAACTTTTCTAATGTCATGGTTTTGGTACTGTTTAGTTAACTTAGTCATTCAGGCAGTGATTAAAAATCAGAGTGTCGTCTGCGTACAATGATTTCTTATCTTAAACAGAAATGTCACAGTGTGGCAATGCCGCATGGTTTCCCAGACAAGAAAATAATGTGGAGCGTGGATCAGAGTAGTTTCCGATGGGGCTGTGATTACTTGGTGCTCCGGTAAATTTTATCCAAGGCCACTTCGGTTCATTTTATTTAATGCCAACAAAGTTCTCAAGCCACTTCAGAGAAATGTTGTGGGTAATGGCTCACCTGGATTACACAGGATTAGGGTGAATTGGGGGGTTTTAAGGCAATCACAAGATCATTATCTACCTCTATGAGTGCACTTTCAGCTGAATGGTACGGCTCAAAGCCAGAACTGGAGTAGCTCTAATCAGGTATTAGTGGCAAGGTAATTGGTAAATTGGACGGCGATAAGTATAAGTATTCTTGAAAGAAAATTGAGATTTAAAGTAGATCGGTTTGTTTAGTTTGTTAAAGGTTCCTAATACTGTCTATGGCATTCAGCCAAAAGAAAGTAAGTTGACATTAAATACTAGAAGATAAAAAGGTGAGGTTTGTTTTAAAGAGTAAGAGCAAGAGTGGAAAATGTTTGCAATCACTCCTGAGGAATCAGACATGTCTATGTTACTGAAGGTCAAAATCTTTGTCTAAACTTTCTAAATTCTAATTTTTAAGGCAGAAATTTTATTTAAAAAACTAATGGCAAGAAATGGATGAAGGCTGGAGAATGTTGTTTGAAATGATAGTTGGAAGGTTATATCAAGGATCAAGATCTACGTAACTCTTCAAACTGAGAGAACATTCATGTGCTCTTGTTCTTGGAAATCCGACCAACTGAATGACAGGCGTCCAACATACCAACCAACCAACAAACTGACCAACCAACCAACCAACCAACCAACCAACCAACCAACCAAC